AGGGGAAAAGCAATATATGTAGAGGTAAGGGCCTCCTACCGCTTGACAAATTTATTTCAAATACTGACAAAAATGTTGAACCGAATGTTAGTTTGGCATAAAGTTCAGTAATTCCGAGACCAAGTAGTAGGAGGTATTTCCCTTACATCACTTTTTCCCCTAGCGGAGGCCGAGATTGCTCGCGAGGTTACACTGACGTGCAAACTCGGTTTCCGTTAGGGAACACAGTGGCATAGGCAAAGGGCCTGTTACTATGCTCCTACCACTTGGTATTGGAAATTACTGAAATTTATGCCAAATTAACATTCAATTTAACATTTATTCAGTACTTGAAATAAAGTTACCAAGTGGTAGGAGGTACTTACTCTTATATTACTTTTTCCCCTGGCGGTAGCCGAGTTGGCTCGTGAGTATACATTCATGAGCAAATTCCGCTTCTGCTAGGGAAAAAAGCGACGTGGAGGGCCCTTGTCCTACGCCGCTTTCTTCCGCTAACAGAAGCCGAGTTTGCTCGTGGGTGTACACGGCATCGATCGATGGCCCCGTTAAATTTCTGAATTAAATGAAATCAAATGAATGAAACCAACACGTGGAACGATCGAAGAGTGCGCCTCAAGTAGAATAACCCGCTGTGTCAGGCGTATTTTACGCGTATTTCACCTGTATTTTTAACCATTAATATCTTGCAAACGAACCCTCGAACGCAATTTCATTATTCTTGATTTTTATCTGTGCTTTCCATACAGAATCCACCTTGTGAATGTGTCCCATATCTTTATTAACACCCTGTATAATAAGTTTCCCTTTAATTTTATCATAAAACATATTGACATAATACAGTAAAAAGCCCTGGAAACTTAGAATACCCTGTGTAAGAGTATGATATGTTTGAACGTTAACAAAAAATTATGAAGGTATGTGAAATTAAAAATTAATATTTGTTGTAAGTACTACTGAAAAGTTAGTTATTACATATGATTTTGGTAATTATTTTTTAAATTGCGTCGTGTTAAATCTGTGAATTTGGCATCGTATACAATGCCAGTTGCTTGATTTTACTTATACAAAATGACACAAGTAAACAGTATTTCTGTTGTTGAAATCATTCAGAATTCCGTTGGTATTTGTATGGAACGATTAAAATAGGACACCCAGCTTACACATACCAAATTTTTATAACAATGGATTACATATTTCATGTAACTTTAATATGAAAGTGTCTAAACATCAGATAATTGTTGTTTCTTACATGTAGCTCATTTTTTGTATTAGTAGTATAATATTACAGGGTGTCCTATAACTGGTGGTAAGACCGAATTGGCGGTGATTCGATGTGAAAAAATAAGTTGACAGTATACAATAAAATTTTTCTATTTAAGTCTTCGTTTTCGAGAAAACCGACTTCGAAAAACAGCTGAATCCACGTGCAACTGAATAGGATTTGGCTAACGTGTCTGTTCATTGCAGTCTGTTTCTATTTACTACAATGACGAATACACGCGTTTCAGATTAATTTTCATAGTCGATTTTCCCGAAAACGAAGTCTTAAAGGAAAAAATTTTATTATAAATTTTCAACTTATTTTTTCATGGAGAATCACCTGTTACTCGGTTATATCACCAGTTAAATAACGCCCTCTATATTTACTAAAAGTAAAAACATTTAAATGTTTAAAAAGAACACCGTGCATGTAATTAGCTAGAATATGTAGAAATAGTAATTCAAACAAGTTACATTTTCAAAATTTACTATTGAAGAAGCATAGTACAACATATGTATGCCTGTAGCATACATTTCTGCATGAAGCATGTTTTTTATATAAATTTAATAAAGAACTATGTATAAACGCAGAATTTTTATCGTCTTGATATTTATCAATTTTTTGATAATTTAACATTTTTATTTTTAATTTATTTAGGAGGAATTATATCATTCTCTCATTTAATTATAATCAAATCTGAAAATGTTAATTGTTTGCTGTAGGCTGCAGTATTAAAATAGCCTCAGGAATTATTCTCATGTAAAGGCTTAGATGAGCAATTACCTTTACCTTACATTTTTTGGAAATCTAAAAATTCGAGGAAATAGAAAAAATGACGGGAAATCCAAACTGTATTTCAAAATGTTATCAAATGCTTCTATTATTATAAGCTGAATAAATGATTATACATTCGCGGTTAAAATTATTAGAACACTTGGCGAATATGCAGTAGTAAATGTTACAAGGCATTACGAAATTGCTGAAGTCTGAAATAAATATTATTTAGAGGATATTAAAGCTCGACCGACAATGCATACGCTACTATGAAGTAATAAATTGTTGTACATAAAATATATCCTTTTTACGAAACAACACATTTTCTTCGCCCAGACAATAAAATCAACTACATTTTCTAAAGAACTCTGTCTTTTATAACACAATGAGCAATAGATTTACGATTTTTATTACTATATTTTGCTAGCGATTAATTGCTATATAATTTTGTACATTTTCATTATTTATGTACATCATAAAAAATTATCAAAAAATTGTGAATATCGACACAACATAAATATATCATAATGAATCATATTATTAGTGGAGTTGGAATGTAATGACATAATCACCAGAGTTAGTAACAACGCGATTTATTGTACAATATTCTACCATTTGAACAATAGTACCTCATTATAGTTGTACTGACGGTTATATTTAATCTCAATTTAAATCTAAATTTTTATTATAAGTATGGATGCATAAGATCTATACTATTTCTGTTCTTTAAACATTTATAGTAGTTATTATAGTATTAATACAGTATCCTCCTTACAAATTATTATTCAACAGTGCTTCGGAAAGCATTGACCCAGCCTTATTTTAGATCACTTATTCGCAATTTTCGTGGTTTCGAACTTTTTCCATTGGACGATTCTTACCTATTCACACCAATACTAAATGACATATGCATAAGTTTATCAGTAATATAATATAAACATTTTTTATTTTTATTATACCTTTGCGAAAATTTTATCATTATATTAACACATTTTTCTGACGGATATAAAATCAAGTGACATATCGTTATTTGTATCATCTAGCGTAATACACGTATAATAAAATGTATTTTGGTGGCTTCAGAATACTCATTAGCAGAACTGGGTTTTATGCTTAATGACATACTCGATTATATTTATAAAATTTAATACAATAGGAAGTAGTCTTATATGTATTTGCATAAACATTTTCAGTTAACTAATTACTATTACTTCAAACTATTCAAATAATTTTATATCAGGCTATACTATCATCAGATAACTGTTATGAATATATGATAATTACATTGTGCATAATTACAACGAGATATAAAAAAAATTTATAAAATTTAATATATAAACACGGCGTTCGGCGTTCGTTTGCAACGTCAGACGCGTGGTGCAATTGTTCAAGTAGATGATTGTCATGTAATAGCTGCAATTGGGGATGATTCGTACGTATATATATATATACACACACACACACACGCGCGCGCACGCACACACACACACACACACACACACACACACACACACACACACACACACACACACGTGTGTGTGTAGAATTTTTGAAAATTATCGTAATATCAGAATTAATTGTTAATTAAACGTAAAGAATTAAATGTTTAATCTTCAAATCGATTTGGTTTAGAAGAGAACTTAGTACATACATATATACCTATTTGAAGATATTACAATAGAATCAGTAAACTTATTACAACCTCAATTTTCACCATATAGTTTTGTCAATGATACAGCCTGTATTTATGTAAATTATATCATTATAATTAAGCTAATTAAATGTAGAAGAATTTCTGTTTTCTATAATAGTAGAATATAATACAAATTGTCAGTTATGTTTCCCATTGTTATGTTACAGAAACATGATATAAATTTTTTCATACACATACGTATGTATCATACACTTGTGTGGTGAAAATCATGTTACAAGACATTTTTTACGTAGAAAAGTAATATATCGTTAATGTCAATACTATGTAGATATAAATGCTTTTAATAAAAAAGAAAAGTACATATCTCTTAGTTGTTTTTATGTAATCTGCATTATGGTTCATCCAATATTGTATAGTGTCTGTTAAAAAGGCTGTCACATTCTCGCATTCGAATGGACAAAAGTTGTATGCAATTGAACTAAAAAATTATTTATCAAATACAGACTGCTCTCGATTATCGTCCCAAACTCGGGCCCGTGCCGGAACAATAATCATATAGGGAGAAATGCTTCAGACCCTTTAGTAAATTTGATATTTTTTTTTTTTTGTAAATTTGATTTTTTTTTTTCGAAGTTCGACCCTGGCAATAAAAGCAGAGGGGCAACAAAGTATGCTCTTGACAAGTTTTACGGCCTCCCCCCTACAGTGGTAGGGATAACGCCTGGACAATAATCGTGTAGAACAAACCAGACAATAATCGAAAGGAGTCTGTACAGTCATAATAAGTGCTTGATATTCTAAATATTCTGGAATTTTTAAGACAGCAACTTTGATGGAAAATATTAAAGACTTCTTAAACGGAGAAGTGACAGTCATAGAAATATAACATGCATTTGTACTTGATGCATGAAAATGAGATATTTCAATACAAATAACAATTATATTTAGTTTATACAAACCATACGTATACTTGCGTGCAATCATTTTTTATTGTTTTAAAATAAAAAAATTAAATAGTGTACAATGAATTGATTTCGTTTTAAATATTATTATATTAGATGCAATTCAGATGGATTGTGTTTAGTTCTTGTTAGAATCTTGTGGTTACTAAATTGTAAAATCCTTTAAAAGTTTGTCCATTATTATGTCCATTTTCTACCCCTTTACGAAATTGTTTAATGGTCGTCTATATTTAAATTGGTGAGTCTTATAAAAAATTATTAATGAAATGTTGGACAAATCGGGAGATAGGGCAAAAGAGAGGTGACATGTGTCTGTTGCCAGGCTGAGCATGGAGGTGTCGTGTCGCAGATGGCAGACCCGAGCCGTGAGGAAGAACAAGTCACTCTCTTAGGTGAAGAGGGCCTCCGCGCTGGCGGCCAGGCTCTCAAGCTCGGGTAATTAAAAGTGGTGTAAATTCAACTAGCATAGGACGTAACGATTTAAACATTTCATCATGAAAGCTAGAGTAAACACGACAAAAAAGTATGGCGTTAATTTTTCAATAAGTTAAAGTGTAAAACTATATGAAAATTGCTAAATTATTTAACAGATAAAATTTTTAATGATAATATTTTGAGAATTGATAGTTCACACAGTCATAAAGCTTCACATTAAAAAATTACAAAACAAAAAATCCTTATGTCCTATACTTCAAACACTAAGCATTGCAAACTTTTGTATTTCACAAATACTTCATGAATTTATTTAAAAAAAACTTCAAACTAATGTAATTGATTGTTCTCCACTCTGCTATGGTATTGGGCCAAATAATGTTTACAATAATATAATGCAGGATATGTTTATAAATATATGTTAAATCTATGAACACATTATTATATATTCTATAAAACGTTAGGGTCTGTTCATATATTGTAGAGCTTATAATATTTTTCTGTGTAATTTGGATATGCATTTGAATGTAGATTTAAGTAGAGGGCACAATACGTCAATGTGTTCTGTGGTTACAGCACCTGTATACTACGGCAGACACCATAGGAGCACACTATAGGAATCCCCTCAGGCAAGCTGTTATCAACCGTTATTTGCATTTGCAAATCTGTTTGTTTTATGTTTTTGCCAGTAGCTACCTAGCAAAATCCTTTAGTCAAAAAGGAATACTAATATTATAGTCACTAAACATTCAAAGTTTTCTTATAATTATTAATTCCTTAAATAAGTATGTTTATGATATTAACTGTGAACAAACATTGCCTTGTCAAATACAATCTTAAAAAATCTTTCATAACAAATATATTTTATAATAAATATCTTTCATAAAAATTCAATACAGTGTGTTAAGAAATGATAGGTTCAGTCACAGTTATGGTCGTAACTCATGAGCAAATGCATCAATCAATCTGAAATTTTCAGGGTATTAGGTACTTATACCGACAAATTTGTCTGCTAAGTATTATTGAAGAATATCATGTCAAAACGAAAGAAGAAATTTTTTCTGAATGAAGCCAATTTTTGACCGTTAATAAATGATAAGTTCACTTGTTAAAAAACTGGTCAAGTAATGTATTAATATGCAAAAGCTTAATATATCGTGAAAATTACCATTTTATAGGCTTTCTGCTACTTTTACTTAAAAGATTGATACACTTTGGCACAGAGTTGTCGAAGTTCATAAGTTGCTGATCTGTAACACACTTTTTGATTCGAAAAAATATCAAGCTGTTTTACAGGAACATATCTTGCCTCACATTCCCAATTTTTCATCCGCCAGGCTGAAATTCGCGCACAATAATGCGTCCGTACACACTTCGGCAAGTACTAAACAGTGGTTCAATTAAAAAAGAATAAAGAAACATTAAGGTGACCATCAAGGTCTCTTGACCTTAACGAAATAGAAAATTTATCAGGACAACTGGTACATGATGTTTATGAACATTGTCGCCAATTCAACACTGTAAATTAACTCAAAACGGCAATGAGGGACGCTTGGAGTTGTGTTACGGATTGGCAATTTATGAACCTCGCCAACTCTATCCTAAAACGAATCAACTTTTATTTAATAGTGGCGGAAAGCCTATTAAATATTAATTTTCATAACGTAGTAAGTTTTTGGACATCAACACATCATTTAACCACTCTTTTAGCAAGTGAACCTATTGACAGGAAAAAATTTCTAGTTCCGTTTTGACACAATATTTTTCAACAATATTTAGCAGATAAATTTGTTAGTATGAATGCCTAATACACCGAAAATTTCAGATTGATTGATGCATTTGTTCATGAGTTACGACCGTAACTGTAACTGAACCTATAATTTTTTAACACAATGTACCACTCTTAAGTTTTTGTTTTACATATTTAAACACTGCGATTTGTATATATTAAATTCAATTATTAATTACGATTATAATGTCATCATCTTAATTATACATATAGGCTAGAAAAATAACTGTGTCTAACTAAAATATCTCTTCTATGTTTAGGGATATGAAAATAATTTGTTTATAAAGGTTTTACGATAGGGTCATTCCACGCGAAATCGGACACTTTTTGGAGCACCATTTCGGATTTTGTTCAAATTTGGATATGTTGTAGTCTTTAGCGATATATAAACGTATCTCGAAGGATTTAAAAAAATTTTTTTGTTCAAATTTGGATATGTTGTAGTCTTTAGCGATATATAAACGTATCTCGAAGGATTTTAAAAAGTTTTTTAAATTGTTGATCTTACAGCTGTTTGAAGTTTAGGGTCAACCTTTTTTCTATAAATCATAACTATTGAACTAACAAACTGATCGAAATGAGCGTTGCGTGTACTTATAGTAGAGCCATAAGTGTATGAAATAAAAATTATTTCAGTTGAAAAAAGATATTTTTTAACCATTTATTTTGCAATTGTTTTAAACAAATGCCCTGTTTTTGCACTAAGGAAATATTTAAAAATTTGAAAAAAATGAGGATATAGCCCTATTTGTCCTCTTTAAGGACATATCTTCAAAAATATGGACACTTTAAAATTGGTCAAATGAAAATTAATTGAAGTGAACGCTGCGTCCAAGCGCACCGGCTCGACCGGCCGAGCCGTGCGTTACTAGCAGCAGCTCGGCGGCTGTACCTGCTATTGTTATAGGGGTATGCGACCGCTGCCAGGTCTAATATCGTTAATAGTTATTGGAAATTCACTCTTTGTCAATGGCACTCATTGTTAAAATCATTGTTGCCACTGTTCAATGGAAACCACGAGAAGGTGGTGGTGAGTATTCTTCCATCGGGAGAGGATGGGATGTGGTAGGATTAAGGCTTCAAGGTAAATATTTTATCGTATTGATGAGCGTCTTCTTAAATAAATAATCGATTATATAAGTACTTAATTCATAATTGCAACAACTACTGATTTTTCACTGTATGAACAGATTTTAGCAGTTAAATGAGAAACTATATCCGTTGGTATAAATGAATGAAAATTTCGCGTTCCACGAATTGTTTTAGCAAATTCACGTCTTTCTAGTAAAAGTGTTGAATGGTTATTATATTCTTCTGTTGAACTAAATTGGAAATTAATTTTTTCAATGTTAGCATTCGTCCAGTCAAACAATTTCTGTGGTGTCGTTATTTGGTCTTCTAACGGTCTTTGCAAACTGGTATGAGCTGCAAGGCGTTTTAAAGAGCCACCGATACCATCGCATGCATTTTTGCCATGTGATGTTGCAAAATAATGCCACTCGGCATTTATTCCAAAATCTTCGAAATGTAAACTGAGATTCAGTAAATTATATTTATTCTCATATTGCGATGAAGCCCCATCAGAGAAATATTTGATTTTCTTAATGCTAGTGCCATGTGTTTCTTTCAAAAACTGTTTTTTTGCAATAAAATCATGGACCTGCAATTTGGGTAACCGGGTTTCCAGCTGATCAAGAAATTCTTTAGTCGTATATTGTACAGATTCTAAACTGGATCTATCAGTATTTGTCCATTGACAACAAGAAAGAGATATAATAAACTGTTTATCGAATAAATCTTGCAGTTTTGTACGTATAGGTCCAAATCCTGGGCAATCTTTGCAATTATTTAAGTTACAAGATTCACTAGAGACATCACAACGCATATTTGAAAGCATTTCTTTGTATGAGAAAGAAAAGTTACAGGATGCAGGGAGTAAGTTTTGCAATTTGGTACAAGTAGCAAGTGTAGGACAAAAAGGGGGAGACGGTTGAATCGTAAAATGGTTATTTATTTAACACTGCATGTCCGATCTCCATAGCATCCACTCGACGACTGACTCGACAAAGGGACGGTCATCGACGCAACAAAATGAATACGACGCTCGGTTTCGAGCGAGCGTCGATGACGACACAGCCGCCAACGGTCGTCTTCCGCAACAAAGTATCGCGTAGCGAACGGTTTCGCTAACGAGAAACCTCGTATCGCCTACACAAGCAATAATTTTACATTTTGGTGTATGACACATACACATACAGAATGTGTTCCACTGTGTCTTACTAATACACACTCTTTAGGACGAAGCTGAGCAAATTTACTAAATCCAATTTTTAGGGACGGATTTTGCTGTTTAAAGAACAAATACAATTCATTTAAATTATTTAAAACTAAACGCTTTTGAATATGCATTTTTAAACCGTCTCGTTTAACAGAAATAAAGTCTTTTTTCCCGGGCTTTACTCTACTGACTTCGTCGCTCGAATAAAATAATTGCACCATGGATATAGTAGAATCAGATAATGGCGCTCCTTTTTTTTTGTCAGGGTAGGACAAAATACCCTTTTCTGAATGTAGTTCTTTCGCCGCAGTTGCCATGTGTTTAGTACATCCTACTGTTTGCATCATTTTTCTAATACTCCACGATTTGGGAAGAATAGTGAGAAGATGTAACTAGTCATATAGTTTGTTAAATTACAATATTTTTCTTTCAATTCTGGTAAGACTTCTTCATAGAAAGAATCACGATCATCGTGAGAAAAATTATCTACTAATTTTCGTTTCAAGGTTTTTTGCATATAGTTCAACTTTTGGACTGCACTTTCACGCTATGACAAATGTATCGAATTTAGTGGCGACTGGTTTAAAATATGAAGCGTCCGATTTAGTGAGTCGGTAATTACCGATTTATCACCATAATTCGAATCACTCTACATCACTGAAGATTCTAATGGCACAATATTACTAGTAGAAGCTATAGGTTCATATTCTAGAAGAGTGTGCAAAGTTTCAGACTGAGCCAAACGATTACACATTAACCGGCAACTACAGCAAATAAACTTTCCCACCTCGAGGTTGGGACACTTGTTTTGCAATGCTTCTGTAATAGGTCTAGTATTTTTGAAATACTTACTGTGATTGGGTTTCGCAAAGGGATTGCAGCACATTTTTCCCACCATTTCAAACTCTCGCTGTACGAATGGACACGTGCACACGG